AAATCTAAAAGTCATACAATGTAGGTATAATGATTTTATTTCATTAAAACATAGAACACATTTTCATTAAACCAGGATGATAACAATATCAAATAATAAAATTATCAATTCAATGCTGAAACCAGACTAAAACTATGGAGCGAAAAAAAGAAAAAAAAATTATGGAACGAATGAAAATTCTGATTTAACTAGTTTTATACTTTTATGTCTTATGAAACATAAAATATTTTCATGATTTCTTAAACATAATCTATTAAGTCATTTTAGTTTCTCTCTATTAATGTAGTACTGTTATCTTGTTTTACTTTGTTATTTAGTCGTTTCGTCACAAATGTTATTTAATATTTTTATGTATAAAAAGCTGAAATAGCTAAGTTAACACCAAATTATCTTCTTTTTTTTTTAACATCTGAATCATTTATTCAGTTAAATCATATACAAGAGTTGATACATGAACAATACATCAATAATGAACAAAACCAAATACACATCCACATTTACATAACCACATATTAAGAAGACGATGAAGAAGTGAATTGTCTTTTTTCAGGAAAATACTCCTTTTTTCAACTGAATACTAACTGATGGTTTAAAATTTACAAGACTATTTCAAGGGAACAAGGGCCAACATTAAGCACTCTATTCCAAGCCAAAAAAAAACGTACACTACAAAAAAGTAAGATTTCCAGAGGTAAAATACTACATAGTTTTATTTTTCTACTCAAGATACTACCTTTTTTTGTCAACATTTAATGCACGATATTTAATAAATTTAAAATAAGAAATCTGTATACCTTATGGTGTTGATTTTTTCTTATTCAAATATAAAACAACAAAAATTTTAAAACAAAATTAAAAATCTAATACTAAAATATTATTATTTCTTGCAACAAAAAAACTAAAACCAACAATGTCTCAATCCCTCTCTTGCAAAGTTGCCTCAAATAAGAAACTGAAACCGGTTTAGTTCCGGTTCGTAACGGTCCGAACGTAACAAAACTTGATCAACGGTACAAAACTGATTTAAGATACATCATCTAATCGGACGGTCCAAAACTGTGGCTTTTTGACACAATCGCCAAAGACTAATCAAATGATGCAAGTGAATCTATAAACTCTGCCTTGTAATGCAAATCCAATTTCTTAAAGATTCTTCATTGTTTTGGCACGTGATTGGCACATGCCATGATCCTTTCTCAGATTCCTGAATAATAATATCCAAAACAAAAATACAGATTCAGGTATTTT